ACTATGGCATCCTTAGTGGCCGCGGAGAGGCATCTGTGGCTGACTCTGTCCGACATTAAAGAGAAGGATCTGATCTGATCTGAGGACCGTCCTTTTGGCCAAGAAGTCTTCGACCAAGAAGCCCTGATATTTATGTTCCAGGGCTTCTGAGGGCAGCCCCCGCTGGGGAAGAGCAGTGTACGCCTCATTACACGGTGCCCGTCTCTCCTCATTGCCCTCAGCAGGCCGAACTGTTAACCCTGCCACCGCCAATGCTTCAGGACACAGCGGTCTCCAGCGAGCGCACATCTCAGTGTCTGCCCGGAAACATAGCGGCTCTGGGAGGCTCGCTGCCTCTAAGGAGGTCTCCAGAGTGGCCTGGTGCGTTCGTTCCCTGCTGGTCCTCCACTTCAGGGCACCGAACTAGCCGCTCCTATTACACCGGAGATCAGTCTCAAGAGGCTTAGTAGATTTTCTGCCAGCGTGGAAGCTTCTGCCAAATATCTCACGATGGTGTCCTGCAGACTGTAGAAAGAGGTTACAGAATTCAGTTTGGTTCTCCTCCGCTTCGTTTCAACGGAATCGTTTCCACTGTGGTCGGTCCCAAGCAGGCTCCGGTATTAGAACAAGAAGGGCTTGTGGTGGCTCAAGGGGAAAATCCGCTTCGCATGATCAAGGTAACGCGGCGATGCTTTCGTACCTTAGACGTGGCGGAAACCTTGGTTCTTGTCACAGGGCCCGGTGCTGGGAGCTCCTTGTCGTCGCGTAACGTTAACGACGAATGTGTCCCTCACCGGTTGGGGTGCAGTCATGAGTGGCACATCAACTGCCTGGAGATGTTGGCCGTGTTTCGAGCACTGAAACACTTTCTCCTAGACCTGAGAGGCCATCATGTGTTGGTGCGCACCGACAACACAGCGGTGGTCTCTTACATCAACCACCAGGGAGGTCTGCGTTCGCGACCCCTTACATCAACCACCAGGGAGGTCTGCATTCGCGCCCCCTGCACAGGCTGGCACACCAGATCCTTGTGTGGTCCCAAGGGAAACTCCTCTCGCTGAGAGCAGTGCACATCCCTGGGCATCTCAATCAGGGAGCAGACAAACTGTTGAGGCAGGGGCCAAGGCCTGAGGAATGGAGACTCCACCCAGATGTGGTGTGTCAGATTTGGAGAATGTTTGGTGGATCTGTTTGCGTCTTAGGAGACATCGCACTGTCCCCTCTGATTCTCTCTGACTCATCCAGCTCCTCTCGGGACTGGGGTCAAGGCTTACTCCAACCGAAGCGTGTCGGCCTCCAAGGCCTTCCTGTCGGGTGTGGCTATGCAGGATATTTGTAACGCTGCGGGTTGGTCTGCGCCGCTCACCTTTGTCAGGTTCTATGACCTCGACGTTCATACCGCTCTTGGTTCCTCTGTCCTTTTGCCATAGTTGTGCTGAGTACATACACACTATGCAGGGACTTGAAAGTCTGGTGGCGTGGGCATTCTCGTTCCCAAAGCGTCTCGACGCAGCTCGAGTTCCTGAAGGGGAACGCCTCAAGGTTACGTATGTAACCCTGGTTTCCCTAGGGAATCACCCACTTCAAAACTGCTTAATGTGAACTAAAAGGTATATGAAGAAGTTATAAACATGAACAGTATGGAAACTGTAAAGCTGCTTATGAAACAGTATGTATTGTTAAAGTGCTGTATGAATAAAAGTGACTTACTATGCATTTTACTCATTGTCTGCCCTTCCTCGACAGCAAGGAGACTGCGTCATCAGTAAAGTCCTGACCTTTGACCTCTCCCAGTATCCTGATGCCAACCCCAATCCCAATGAATGAGACATTACTCACATACCTAGAAACATTTGTCTGTTTTGTTTTGTAGTTTTCAAAGATCAGCTTGGCTTTTTATGTTCTCAGTATTTACACATCACAGTCTCTTGCTAGATTTGAATATAGTTCATTATGATTTGTGCTTTTTTTTTTCTTTTTTCTTTTTTTGCTTAGGTCAAAATGTGTTTTTTTTTTTTGTTTAGTGCTTTTTGGCAATCATGTAATTTTGATGAATCCATTGAAACTAGATTAGTCTGACTTTTCTAACATTTTTAACTGCATAATTGGCTTTAAAGCTTTATAATGTAAAACTTCACAATAGAGGTTATGTAATGACTAAGCAGTTTAAGTGATTTTGTTGATTGGTCAAAGTTTTATCACCCCTTTTGTATTGACTGTATTTGTCCTGTATTTGTCCTTTTTAGTATGTTAAGTTTTAAGTAATTTTCTCTCGGAAAATAAACTTTGCTTCCCAGTAATATTTGAATACACATGAATGTCTTGTTTGAATTCATCTTAACTTGTTGTGTGGTTGTAATGGCTTACTGTAACTTTAAAATTTCACTTTGGTTGTAATGGATCCATGGATCCAGCAACTTACTGAGCATATGTAGAAGGTCACATAAACATGCTATATATATATATATATATATATATACATATATACATATACATATACATATATATATATTTACAGTGGGGAAAATATTTATTTGATCCCCTGGTGATTTTGTACATTTGCCCACTTAAAAATTACAGACCCTTCGTTTCTTTGTATGTAAATTTGAAATTTTATGTCTGTAAGGTTTATTTTAACTGTATAGAGACAGAATACCAACCAAAGAAAATCCAGAAAAAAACATTATATAAAGGTTCACAAAAGAGTAGCTTTTGAAAAAATATTTGGAGTCAACACAATTACACACAAACTTGGGTATATTTTAATGGACATTAATGGATTTAAAAATGAATATTGAAATATTTTTTTAAAATAAAATGATACTTTAAATATGAAACTAAAACCGCCAGTAGGTGATGGTCTTAATGAGTGTGTCATTCATTCAGCCGAGCAAAACTAAAAGTCAAATCTTTATGAATGATTCACTTTATTTGTTTTAAAAAGTTCTGCTGTGGCTTTCTTTTAAACTTTTTGTTGGCAAAATTGAGCAAAAACAGACAGTACTGACAAAAATGGAACAGAATATTAACTTACTGATTTTATACTACAGTTCAATAAACAATATCTCATTGCTAATCATGCAGATATATAAAAAAAAAAAAACTTGTTAGTGTGATATTATTGCTAAACAAAAAAGGCCAACATAATACATTCATTTCTGTCCCCACCAACTTTCAAACCAAACCTACACCTTTGGCAAGGCATTGATCCATCCTGATCGTACTTAACGGGCTCCCAGTTGTTTATAGACGCTGGCTTTCAAATCACTACTAGTGTATGCTCCTAAAAGAGTGACGCCTTGTTGTTCCTTCACAACGGGGCACAGTCACTCTCCAAACCTTACACCATTTTTGTCGCTTTGGTGTAATAAGCTGCCAACCTCCACCCAGACGGCTGAGACCATCACATCTTTCAAGAAGCAGCTGAAGGCACGTTTATTCCACAAGCACTTAACCACGACGCTCTAAAAATGCACTTAAGCTTGTGCACTTTAGCACACAAGCATGCACTAGTTTGCTTCTAAATGTTTAATAAACCTTGCATTGTGCGAATATCATTGGCTCTTTGATTAATTGCTTTGTTCATCTTTTTGTAAGTCGCATGACCTTGGCACTGCTAGTGACATGCTCTGCTGTTTAAACTACAGGAGCACCTAATACCTGTACTTGACTGATGGATAATTATCAATCTTAGCTTATGCCTGTCAAGCCACTCCATACAGATGTTATACAAACAAAATATAATAAAATACACTGACATTCGTCTTAATAACCTGCATGCATTTAGTATTCATTTAGCTTTAATATGTGAATAGTAATACTACATAATACGGTAAGCCTCAATTTAAATGTTTATAAGTAAATGTTTTGATTCATCAGTGTAATAAAAAAAAGGCAAATTAATACTGTAAAAGCTACTTACACACCATAACTAACATTATTTTGAGTTTTTACAATATTTAAATAAGAAAACTTTCAGATATTGTCAAGTCTTCTTACGCATGAAAGACATTTAGTCAAATGACCTTCAGATACAGGCAAGTTGAGCTCACGCTCTCTTTCTCACACACACTCACTATATATTGCATATCCTGTTTTAGAAACAGCACTATTTGTTGAAACAGTTATGCAAACTTTTTTGTCCACTGTTCACTATTTTTAAAGTGAGAAATCATGTCAAAGAATGAAATGCTTCAATTTTGTAACACCATGTATCTTGGTATTTCTCTTTCAAAATTGTGTAAAGTGAAAATAAGTGTGTGTGAGAGAGAGAGAGTGTGTGTGTGTGTGTGCACTAGTAACTTATTTGAAAAAGTACTCAGATACTTTCTATTAAGATAAAAAGCAATGCATTATTTTACTAGTTACTTGAAAAAAAGTAATCAGATTACACAACTCACGTCACTTGTAATGTATTACACCCAACACAGCCATAGTGGCTGATTTACCTGTCCACCTGTGCTAGTTATGTTGCTTATTATCTCTGCTCATGAGTACATTAGAAGCATTAATTCACACAGACACGCAGAACATGCAGATTTCATATCTTTTTCGCAGTTTAATATTCACAGACACTAGACATTTTGATTACATGAAAATCATTTTTTACATCCCTGCTTTTTTGCCTAATTCCATGGTGTCCAGTCAGTTTCTGTGACTGGATTCCGCGATTCACTCTGGAATTTTTTAAAAACTGTTATAAAAACAAACAAAAAAAAACATGTTATTTAATCATTTTAATATGCATTATTTCTTAGTTAAGGGTGGAAGCATATCCAGTTGAAAACCAGAAAGTAGGCTGATTATCATGGATAATGTTCAGCAATGATCACCCTACATGTTTTAGAATTTTGTTAAAATTTAATTTCATAATATCCACCACCAGACAGCATCAATTTATGTATTATGTTGAAAATGCGTCGATGTTTTGTTTTTCAGATACAAAATAATCACGGAATCATGCCAAGTGTGAAGAGACATAATTTTCGTGAGCGCTTAAGCACGGTTCCCTTCAAAAACACATGACCGCGGACTACAAGTACGTGCTACTATGGCGAGCCAACCCTTTGCCATTGGAAGGAGCCTAACGACGTAATATGACTAGTGAATATTCAAGTCAGCAGTCTTCGCGCAGTATGGTTGGTATTTTGGCAGTTTTCGGTGTTTGTGTTAATGTGTGTTATTAATGGAGCGTCGTGAGAAAGCCGTCATGGGAAAGAGAACGCGCTGCGAGAGCACAGGTTAGACTGAAATAAATATCTATGAGCATGAGATAGTGCATGAAAGTACTACGAGATACTGCGTTTTCAATACTCACACACACATTTGTTTCACTGTGAGGACTAACATCGTTTTTATATCGAGAGTGATGTTTTCTATTGCCTAACCCCAACCCCTGCCCCTAAAAATAACCCTCACAGAAACTGCATAACACTATATTTAAAAAAAACATATCAGGCCTATCTGTAAAACTTTTTGACTAGTGAGGTTCTGCTTTCTAGTTGGTGTTTAACAGGTTTCACTGTATTAGTGAGGACATTTCCTCATCTCACAAGCATAGTCAAACCTGTACACACATAAATAGGTACAGTATCTGTGCTGGCAGGGCTGTGGTGTCTTCTTACCGATGTGTCAAATGTGTTCTGGATAAACACTGACTTCTGGACAGAGAGCATCTGTCTGCTGTTTGAGTTACAACTATACGGGGAAAAAAGTCAGAATGCATTAAAAACCACGTACACTAGTATTTTTTTAAATACTTTATTTTTTATTATTATTATTTTTTTTTTTTTGGTTTTTATTTATTTAAAATTAGACAGTAACCATTCATATTTCTGGGAATTCTAGATTAATTGACCTCCCCCATGGCGATGGAAAGAGTGCCTTATTTTTAATGATTATTATCAGTGGCATACCCTGTATTCAGATGTGGCCTGTTTTGTGGTGAATATTGATAGGCTGTTTTGTGTGACATTGTGTCAGGTGCTTGATGCACCTCCTCCATCAGGGTTCACCAGTTTAAATACACATCTGCTTCAGAGTGGACAAGGCTACACATACATTCTTAATAGAAGACTTCAGCTCTACTGGTCACTTTGTGCACTTACCATACTCAGACACAGCTGTCTCACACACATTGGTGAATATGTATCACTCACAAATTGAACTGACACAAAATCCTCTGGAGAAGATCTGGGTGCCATGGATGAGCAGCAGGTTGAGACGGAGAAGAGGCTGTAAGTCATACGTCTAAAGAAACATCTCTGTCTCATCCCTCACTCTATTTCTGTGGTCTTATCAAGTTTTAAAAGTAGGCTATCAGTTAATTACACTGTTAGAAATGCATCTTGCCAAGTTAAGTTTTTAAAGACTTCTTTGTAAAACATTTGTAACAACTTTTCTTTTAGACCTTTGTAAACTATTTTTTATAAAACGTTTATATTTAAGGGACTCCCTAAGTGAGAGTCATATATAAATAGAGAGATAAGTATGTTGCATAGTTTCAGAACTAGTTTACACGCACATGTGTTGAAAAACATATTGGATTCACAGCCTCCTTAAAATAGTGACTTGTGAATGTACAACAGCACGAATTAATAAAAAGTACTATTGATGCTTGCCAATATTTTTCCTCTAACATACAGGATTATATAAAGATTTTTTTCCCTTTTCTCTGTCCTCTTTGACTGGACTCTTTAAATTATTGATTATATGTCTGTTTTTGTTTTTAAATCATGTTATGATGTTATATGTAAAAGACGATAAAAAGTTGATCACAAAGAAAAAAAGTTGATCACAAAGAAAATATATTGCATAGTGAAACTGCTTTAAAATAAAATCGTATATACAGAGGATATTTCCTAATACTAGAATTCACTTGCAATTATTTGTAATAAAATAATCAGTTTTGTATTTGTTTTGTGTGTTTTTTAATGGTGTTTGATGCAGTGTGTGACGGTTTGTGTCCTCAGGGCTGTTCACCTCACTGAAGTCCAGTTCACTGCCCTTTGCACACACAAACAAACACAGAGACCACTGATACAAGAGGCACTAGTACAATATTTTCACTGACGTAAATTACAATGAAATGAGTGGGAGTGTAAGCAATGCTTCTATCTCTATTGAGATCAGTTTAAGAAATCCATTATAAAACCATATCAAATGATGAATCTGTTTCTGTATGAATGTATGAAATGTTAAGACTAATATATAGTGTGTATTTTTTGTTTAGACATGTTGTCTGTTTATTTCAGCATCAGTACCCCAGTTCACCAACTCGCCCACCATGATTGTGATGGTTGGTCTGCCTGCCCGAGGAAAGACCTACATCTCAAAGAAACTCACACGTTACCTCAACTGGATTGGAGTTCCCACCAGGGGTGAGAATTATTATACATACTGTATAAACATTATATGAACGAATCAATTAATCAGACTAGCAGGCAAAGCACAAAATCAAGCAACATTACAACCTTGTTGGGACATTTTGTAAAATGCAATAAAAAACAAGAATCTGTGATTTGTTAATTCTCTTTAACCTTTATTAAATTGACAAACATACAAAGAAAAGATTTCCAAAGTTTTCACTGACCAACTTAATTGTATTTTGTAAATATAAACTAATTTTGATGTTGATGGCTGCAGCATACTCTAAAGAAATGGAGCACTCTGTCACATTCAACTGTCCTTTTAATTACAATGATTAATTTTTTGAGAATAAACACTAATACTACACTATACTAATTGTTAAAGTTTTGCATGCAAAATTGTTGTCCAATCTTGCTTGATACAAGACTTCAGCTGCTCATCAGTCCGTAGTTGTTATTGCCTGATTCTCCTTTTCATGGTGGGCCATACATTTTCAATTGGAGGCAGATCTGCTGGCCATCCACATGTTTAGAAAACCTTGCTGTTGTAGCACATGCAGACTGAGAACTAGCATTGTCTTGATCTAATAACCATGGACTTCCCAGGAAAGACCCCCATACCATGACAGACATTTGCTTTTGCTTCTGTCGCTGATGAAAGTCTGAATGGTCCCTTTGGTCTTTGGGACTGAGAACTCGAAATCCATTTTTCCCGGAAACAAGTTGAAATGTGGAGTCATTACTCATTGGACTCATTACTACAGCACACATTTCCACAGTCTTTCTGACTGTCTTGAGATGAGCTCTGGTCCAGAGAACCCGGCGGCATCGCTGCATTTGATGTATACCCGTTGCGTAACAGAGATTGAAGTTGCATTTCTTGAAGCAGTGGCAGACTGTGGTAAAGCAACTGAATTACTCCTGAACCCATGTGGCTATATTTAACACCGCAGCATGACGATTACTTATGCAATGCCATCTGAGGGCTCAAAGGTTTTCTGTCAATGTGCGAGACTTCCGGTTCATTAATCGCTGTAGGGAAATAACGAGAAGAATAACAAAGTGCAGTAAAGGGTAAAACGGTTTTCACTACAAACCAGTGTGTTCATAATTAGGATAATACCATATTAAAATAATATGGTAAGACACCAGTTTGAAATATCAAGCCGCAAAACGAGGTGTTTTGTACAGCTAAAAATAGCTGGAAGCGGGTGACACCGGAAGCCAGACACATTAAATTTACAAAATGGCCACGCCTGCTCTTACGGGAAAACTAAGGTGGATAACCTTTTCACTTTTATTTTGCCTCTGTTCCAACTTTTTTGGAGTGTTTTGCAGCCATCAAAATCAAATGTATTTATAATTACAAAACATATTTAAGCTGGAAAACTTTGGAAATCTGTTTCTGTTAATTGACCAAATAGCACAGTTAGTGGTCGATACATGTAATTTCTGGCTAATATATTGGTAGATATTAGAAATATATATGTTTTTGTTGTAACTGTGGTACTGTCATAGAGCATTATTTCTTGTACTATACATGATCACTGATGTGAAACAATTTTAACAGTGTTTAACGTTGGACAGTACCGCAGAGATGCTGTACGCACCTATAAGAGTTTTGAATTCTTCCGCCCAGACAACGAAGAGGCCATGAAAATTCGCAAGTGAGAAACTCACACTTTATACATCAGTGTTTTATCTAAGCAGTATCACCTAAACAAGAGTTATTAAGCTGTTTGTCTGAATATCAGAAAGGCTATGATTCGGCCAAAGTTCACCTTTGAGTCAATACACTGTGGCAGTATTTGTCCTGAATCCATAAGTTGAGTAAATGATACTGTGAGTCTCTAATAAAGACAGTCACTTTATTAGAGACTTTTTTATTACTGTATTACTGTAATAATGTAATGTAAGCTGCCGAAAGGGTCTCTGAACAATCTCCACCACTGAGAGCCAGTTGCACTAGACTTCCATTGACTTCCCGCTTGAGGGGCTCTGCCTTTTGTAGTGGGTAGGTCATAGGGATGCTCACTTGCTACTGGAATTCACCCTATGTCAGTATACCATTCACCCAATCAGATATGAGCAGCAGAACTAACTGTTGTATCAACTGTATATACTGTGAGTCTCTAATAAAGACAGTCACTTTATTAGAGACTTTTTTATTACTGTATTACTGTAATAATGTAATGTAAGCTGCCGAAAGGGTCTCTGAACAATCTCCACCACTGAGAGCCAGTTGCACTAGACTTCCATTGACTTCCCGCTTGAGGGGCTCTGCCTTTTGTAGTGGGTAGGTCATAGGGATGCTCACTTGCTACTGGAATTCACCCTATGTCAGTATACCATTCACCCAATCAGATATGAGCAGCAGAACTAACTGTTGTATCAACTGTAGTGTACGATTGTGCGCATTTTTTTTTTTTTTTTGTAAACTGTGTGCTTTAGAGCTTGTGCTCTGGCGGCGTTGAAGGACGTCTTTTGTTACTTCACTCAGGATCATGGACAAGTGGCAGTAAGTGACAGCATACATGATGTTACTACAGAAATCGATGAATTTCTCTGAACAATTAACACTAAAGTTGGTAAGGCAATACGTGTCATCATAGTAGTTTAATGCTCCAGTATACTCTGTTTAATGCTCCCGTATGTTTATACACCCCTTGCCAAATGCTTGGAATAATTATGATTTTTAAAATTTTTTAAGTCTTTTATGCTCACCAAGGCTGCATTTATTTAATCAAAAACACAGTAAAAACAGTAACATTTTAAAATATTTTTATGATTTAAGATAACTGTTTTCTTTTTTTAATTATACATTAACGTGTAACATTCATTCCTGTGATGGCAAAGCTGAATTTTAAACAGCCATTACTCCAGTCTTCAGTGTCACATGATGCTTTAGAAATCATTCTAATATGCTGATTTGGTGCTCAGTTAATATCGTTTATTATTGGTGCTTAATTATTGATAATTAGGGGCCAAGTACCAAAGGTGCGTATAGGCATCTATTGTATTTACTAGTTTTCTTCTTCTTCTTCTCCTTCTTCCTCTCTCAAGTCTGACCGCCCATAGAATGCAAACAGAAAGAGGACAGATTCTGAACATTTACCACAGCAAATTTGGAGTTTCTCACTCAAACCCTTTAACGTCACCAACTGTCCAAAGTTGCAGTCATGTTTATGCTATTAACTTTTGAACCATTGCAATGAATTGTATTTTCTGAAAAACCTACTTTCCGGCTTGTCCAGTTTTCACCAAAAGTTGCTCAGATCATCTTTAGACCATGCTGGCAAAAAGTTATTAAAAGATTTTCAATAGACAACACCATTCTCATATAGTCTATCAAGGAATTTGATGAAGAGCATGCCACAATCACAGTGAGGCTATATTTCTGCAATGCTTTAGCTTATTCAGTTCAATCTTGGTTATAACAACCATGACCTGATGGTACATGAGCAGTTTCGGCACAGTGCCACATACTGGACAAGAGATGTGAAAAATTGACATTTTTAAGGTCTCCTTAGAATTCAGTACAGCAAACCAAGTTGAACAGTGGAACAGCTGAACAATTTTGAATCTCTGTTTTTATTCCCTGGGTCCCACAGAATCCCATAGTATATGTTTTTCGAACGTCACCTATTTTGTCTGTCGGCCACTAGTAGTCATATAATAATGTCATATTACAAGTTATTGTATCGATGGGTTTTCAACCATTTTATTTAGTGTCTTTATTTGCAAATTTTCAGTTGGACTGATGCTCCCTGCCATTGCCCAGCTCTTCATTTTCCCTCTGTTGTGCTTGGCCCCTAATTGCTGCTTAAAGCTATTTTGGTTCTTATTATTATCAGTGTTGAAAACAGTATATTTTTTAAGCAGCAGCCAGAAACTCTAAAATTATTCCAAACTTTTGATAGGTAGTGTATGTGAAAGGTTTTTAATTATGTTATGACTAATTCAGCACATTTATGTTCAGGTGTTCGATGCGACCAACACAACAAGAGAACGTAGAGAGGTGATCCTCACCTTTGCTAAAGAGAACGGCTATAAAGTGAGTGAAAAAGGTGAACTGATGAATTAATATTCATCAAATTAATGGTAACGCTTTAGATTAGGGAAATTAGAACACGTGTTCACTTGTTAGCTAAGAGTCTTCCCTAAATAAACTTATAATTTGCTGCTTGTTGGTAGTAAGTAAGGCACTTGTAGTAGTTATGTTTAGGTATTGGGTAGGATTAAGGAATTTAGAATATGGCCATGCATTATGTTCTTCATAAGATCTAATAAACAGCCAATATGCATGCTAATAAACAACTAGTTAATAGTGAATAATGTTTACTAATCTAAAGTGTTACCAAATTCCGACCTAATTTCTAGAGTATATTTAGAAAATATTTCTTCAATATATAACTTTTAAATTAGGGTTGTCTTTCTTGTAGGTGTTTTTTGTTGAGTCTCTTTGTGATGACCCAGAAATCATTGCAGAAAACATCAAGGTGAAGAAATATGAGTATATCATAACATGTTAAAAAATTTAATTTGTTTCTCCTTTTAATTATTGATCTGTGTGTATTATTGTGGCTGTATGTGTGAGTTGCTTTGTAATGAGGTGCATCATTTTAAAATATTACCTGGTCGATTGTCTGTATTGGAGTATATATTTGTTTTGTAAGCAACTCTTTAAAAAAACAAACCTTTGTTTATCTACAGCAAGTGAAGCTGAGCAGTCCTGATTATGTTAACTGTGATAAAGAAGAGGCTGTGACTGACTTCCTTAAGAGAATAGACTGCTACAAACTCACATACGTTCCTTTAGACGATGACAAAGACAGGTGAAGCATTGTCACCCTGAGTGAATTTAACAAACATCTGTTGTTTGACATGAGTCCTCATCATTACTGTCCTCTCTCTGTGTCCTCAGGAACCTGTCATACATTAAGATCTTTAACGTGGGCAGCAGGTACCTGATTAATCAGGTCCAAGATCATATTCAGAGCAGGATCGTCTACTATCTGATGAACATCCATGTCACACCTCGCACTATCTACCTCTGTCGTCATGGAGAGAGTGAACTCAACCTTTTGGGGCGTATCGGCGGTGATTCCGGCCTCTCGCCACGAGGAATGAAGGTTAGCTTAAATCTGATTAAAATAATGCAAATAGTGTTGAGCAGGGCTTTCAGGCTGAATTGCTGGCTATAACGTTTTAAGGAATTATTATGTTTATTGTTACTACTAATGTTACTACTAATACCTTAATGAGGAGAGGTGTTCTACTACTTTCCTTTGTCTTAATGCTTCTTGAGGCAGCAAATTTTTAATTTGCACTGAGGGATTTGACATTTATGTTTATATAACATTAATTATATTTATAAGGGATTCGTATAACATAAATTTGGTATTTTATCCAATTTAAATATTTTGTCAGTCAAAAAATTACCTGTAAATTCTATACTATGATTATAAAAAGAAATGTAACATCACACAATGTTAAGGTAAACTTAAAAAAAAAAAACAGGAAAGCTATTTTTAAGGCAAAAATCTGGTAAATTCAAACAAAACTCTTCAAATAAATGAATCTAAGGCTTAAATGGCCTCTGAATAATAGCCAAGTTCTGTCATGATACTCTTGATGGTGCAGACTGACGGGTCATTAACGCAAACTGATGATATTCACAGCGTTAAACTACTTGGCACAAGTTGACTGATTCAAATCGCATACACAGCCAAAGAGCTTGCTGCTTTACATTTAAATACTGGTTAGCATTCACTAGAGCATTTCACAGCGTGCTTTCAGAGTTCCTCTGAAGCCCTCCACCTTCCCCAGCTGTATAGATCTACTACGGGTTATTATGCTATTTGTGCAGCAGCAGTGTGTTTTAAACTCACAGAACCATATAGGCGTATGTATTGGCAGTAGCAATGTCCCATACTTGCTTGCAGCAGCAGCAGCAATAATCTACAACTACAGCAAAGACCAAATACATTAACATTGTCATATCTGAGAGTTGTCATGATAGGAATATTTTTAAAGATATTCTTGAAGGATATTGTATGCTATACTTTTTTTTTTTTACTTTGATTCAAAATGGCTAAATTACTTACTAATTCTAAGTTCAAAATACTATTTAGTACAGATAGTATACTTGTTACTCAATCAGCCAGTGACTTCATACACAGAGTTTGTATAAAATGTTACCTCCAGAGGCTAATTTTAGACAGCCTTCTGAGAAGACATAATGGTCTAATGATTTGGAAAAAAAAACAAGAGTTTTGGTGATAACCAAAAAAAGCCTTTCTTTGTTTCCAAAAAAAAAAGAAAGAAAGAAAAAAGCAGGACCAGGAAGCTTAAAAGCACATCCGGAACAAACAGTGTTAGCTTCTGATAGGTTGAAGCAAGTCGATCACATGAATGCAGGAAGTATGGCAGAACAATTCAGAGTCTCATTGCCTTCTCAGGGAACCATGGTTACAGTTTTAACCTGAGATGTTCCCTTTCGAGGGAACTTGTGTTGCATCTGAAAATAACGATGCTATGGGAATGATAATACCTACTTTGCCATACTTAACTGTCTAATGTGAAATCATGCGAGCACAACTAAGACAGCAGAACCTGAGAACCTGGTGCAGAGCCCCGGCCTAAGTTATAAAATTTGACAAATGTCAGCGAAAAGGACTAACCTGCCACATCTCAAATGTCTTGAAGGGATACCCTTGACAAGAAGGCTTTAGAAGGCTACCCACTTGCTTAAAGCTTACTTAAATTAAACACCTAATTTCCAGCGATATCGTCGACTTGATTGCACAAATACTATTTTAACTGAACTGAGCTGGATGATGACATCACTGAATTCAATGATGAACTGCATTTAACTGAAAATTGAGTGTTTACTATTGTCATTTTGCATAATTGACACACGATTTTCCTAATTAATGCTGTTCAGTTGCTTTGACACAATCTGTATTGTTAAAAGCGCTATATAAATAAAGGTGACTTGACTTGACTTGCTTGGTTGCAGGCAAAAACAATTTCTTGGTCGCAGGAAAACCTTTTTCTCTCTAGAAAGTAGCTCCTCAAAGAACGCCAGGCGGAAGCGAAGCGTTCACAGTGACAGCCACTCACTCATGCTCCGCTGCCAGACAAATAACACATAAATCATGTGTGTCCCTCACACAGACAGGGAATAACACATTACCTAATTTACTGTTTTCACACCATAACATGTTTGTAACTGAATTGTGCAATGGCACAGGACAAACAACATAAACTTGACACAATTTCACACAGAGCACTTGCTGATGACACAGAAGCTGACACTAGCCCTTTTCACACAGCAATCCCGGTAAATTACCATAAAATTACTAGTATGACTTTACCAGTAAATACACAAATATGCTGTTCACACAGGCAACAACATTCTGGCTTTTTGCCTGTAAGAGTCCATTCACACATCAGCACCAAAATGCCATAAATTCTGTGATGTCAGTCATCTTTAAAAGCTGTGCCGTTGTCTTCATTTACCTGCATGAGTAGAAGTGCTTAGGTTCACTACCTGTCCAATTTGACAACATTTTTGATGTCTGAGTGACAGGCATAAGGGGGTGATCCAAAAGAATGCATTTTAGCTCTTATAAACACGAGACACGCATTATTGTATCCAATAGTAGAGTCCTGATGAATGGAAAAGAAGGCTGGGTCTCACGCGCAACACGTTGAAAAAGCTGCGAGATGAGGGACAATGATCAATGATACCCATCTAGTGCATATTTACATGGAAAAACTAATAGAAAAAAGCAGCGGAGCTTTGTAAATAGCTCAGAGTAATCACATCATCTCCATAAGAACGCTATGATTGACCAATTTGGAACAAAAGCAGACTTTATTCGTCAGTCCGTTCTACGTGCTCATACCGATAATCTTCATGCTGCGTTCACAGTCAGGCAATCAAGTCTATCATCAATAAACATTGGCATGTTCTGAGAGCCGATGACATCGGAGATATAATCTTCAAGGAGCCTCCCCTTTTCTCATATTAGGGGAAGTCTCATATATTTTGGGGAAGTCGTGGCCTAATGGTTAAAGAGTCGGACTCGTAACCCAAAGGTTGTGAGTTCGAGTCTCCGGTCCGGCAGGAATTGTAGGTGGGGGGAGTGAATGTACAGTGCTCTCTTCCACCTTCAATACCACGACTGAGGTGCCCTTGAGCAAGTCACCGAACCCCCAACTGCTCTCCGGGCGCCGCAGCATAAAGGGCTGCCCACTGCTCCGGGTGTGTGTTCACGGTGTGTGTGTGTTCACTGCTGTGTGTGTGCACTTAGGATGGGTTAAATGCAGAGCACTAATTCCTAGTATGGGTAACCATACTTGGCCACGTCACGTCACTTTCACTTTTTTTATAGGGGATGCAACATAAGAGATCATTTAGTCAGTTCTAATACCTTCATTAAGGAGAACAAATATGTGACTTCGGATCATTCCACTGGCTTCTTCCCATGTAAGATTTGTTCAGCTTGTGAAAATGCAATTAAATTGGACTCTTTTACTCCATCGGTGACAGAATGGAAAAAAAAACCTTGGGAGAAACCAGGCTCAGTTGGGGGGCCAGTTCTCCTCCGGTCAGACAAACCAGCAAGTTGATCCATGCTGCAGAAAAGTTAGATTGTGCAGAGGGCTCATCTGGTTCCCGTGGTCTTGTCCCGATGGCCGTCAAGGAGACAAGGTCTTTAATGGGAATCTGTCTCTGGGGCTCATCTAGTTGTCCAGGGGCCTCATTTATAAAATGTTGCGTATAAACCGTCCTAAATTTGTTCTAAGAAAATTTCTAAAAAGTGCATAAGTGCGATTCAGAGAAAATGAACGTGCTCACAAAAACAGATGTGGCATTTATAAATCGCAAATGATCTTGAAATTGTGCGCAGCTGAATGGTGTCAGATCTCCGCCTTTTAAACGCCCCCTAATTAATATCATTACCATATAAAAGAGCACATGCCATTATCCGAATTTCTATGCTTGAGAATGGGCAGTTCATCATTGAATTCAGTGATGTCATCATCCAGCTCAGTTCAGTTTAAATAGTATCTGTGCAATCAAGTTGATGATATTGCTGGAAAATAAGTGTCCCCAACTAAGCAAGCCAGAGGCGACAGCGGCATGGAACCAAAACTCCATCGGTAACAGAATGGAAAAAAAAACCTTGGGAGAAACCAGGCTCAGTTGGGGGGCCAGTTCTCCTCCGGTCAGACAAACCAGCAAGTTGATCCATGCTGCAGAAAAGTTAGATTGTGCAGAGGGCTCATCTGGTTCCCGTGGTCTTGTCCCGATGGCCGTCAAGGAGACAAGGTCTTTAATGGGAATCTGTCTCTGGGGCTCATCTAGTTGTCCAGGGGCCTCATTTATAAAATGTTGCGTATAAACCGTCCTAAATTTGTTCTAAGAAAATTTCTAAAAAGTGCATAAGTGCGATTCAGAGAAAATGAACGTGCTCACAAAAACAGATGTGGCATTTATAAATCGCAAATGATCTTGAAATTGTGCGCAGCTGAATGGTGTCAGATCTCCGCCTTTTAAACGCCCCCTAATTAATATCATTACCATATAAAAGAGCACATGCCATTATCCGAATTTCTATTCATTTTCACAGAAGCAAAGCAGCAGATGTTATAAATAAAAACAGTTAACAATGTTATTGAATAGAATATATTAAAACCGTTATTGCACGACATAGGCCTATTCTTATAGGCTACACAGACAAAACAGTCAGAGATGCGTTTATGCATTTTTTTCCCCTATTTTATGCATTAGTAGTAAATCAAGACTTCGCAAGTTCTCTTGTAAAATAAAATAATAATAATAAAAAAACATGGAATAAACTGTGTACAGAAAGCGAGTAAAGAACTCTCAACATTAGGCTATTAAAAAGGTCAGTTTAATCTCACTAAAACTCCCGATAATAAAAAATCTGACTACACTGCACAATTAATCTCTTACACTGCATCTTTGTTGTTTATGATGAATTCGGTGCTTGCACGTACTTTTATTATTATTATTGCAGCTTAGATGTTTAAATAGCTGCAGTACTCCGACTTTGCCACAAGGAAAAGTGCGTACGCCTGCTCAGACCCTGACATG